AAAAAAAAAAAAAAAAACAACAACAACAACAACAACAACAACAACTGATTTTTTAAAATAGTTGCCAAACCAAAAGAACTAACTAGTTCTGAATACTTAAATGAATTAAGGTCCAAATTGACGTCTGAAACCAAAAGAGGAGGGTGAAGTAAGGGAAAAAATGGCTATTAAATTGAAAGTTTAATTTGGACTAATTTTAAAATGCATGTTTGGCGATTAAAATTGGCGACCAAACCAATTTTAGTCGCCAAAAACACCACATTCAGCGACAAAAAGCAGTTTTAGTCGCCATTGATTCAACCTTTTTAGCTACTAAAGTATTTTAGTCGCCATATAGTATAATTGGCGACCAAATTTCCATTTAGTCGCTGTTTAAGAGCAGTTTAGGCTACTAACATTTAATTTTGTCGCCGTATTGTATCATTTGGCGACTAAACACTTTTGTCGCCAAAAAATGGGCATTTTTGTGATTACTTTTTGCGACCAAATCTGGGTTAGTCGTTGTTTATTCAGTATTGCCGACGATTTTTTTAATTTAGTAGCCAAAGAGGCATCTTTAGGTGACCAATTGTTTGTTGCCGTTAATTTTTTTGGCGACAAATAATCGTTTAGTCGCCAAATGTTTGAAAAAATTTTTAGAGGGAAAATAAGTAATTTCGCGCCCAGTACATATATATTACACACAGTTTTTTTGTTCTCTTCTGTCTCACACACCGACATCAACATACCAAACCCGTCCCTACCAAACCCGTCGCTCACCACCAGCGATCATCACCATCGCAGGCCACCGGCGCTCGCCACGACCACCACTACAAATCGGCGATCAGCACCACCGGCCATCATCACCATCGCAAGTATGTATCTGTCGTCTCTTTCCTTCTCTGTCGATCTGGTTCTATCTGGTTCTATCTGTTTGTCGACGTCTCTCACATCCCCTTCTCTCACGATTAATTTTAGGGTTTGACATTTCATTTCCCTTTATTTCGTACACAAATTTGTGGAGGACTATCTGGTTCTATTTGCTTCTATCTGGAGGACATTTCATTTCCCTTTATTTCGTACACAAATTTTAGGGTTTGTCCTTTCATTTCCCATTTATTTCGTACACAAATTTTTAGGGCTTTTCCTGATTTCGTGAATGGGTGTGGTTGAAATTGCGATTGTCCATTTGGATTTTGGATTGTTGATTTTGGATTCTGTTTGTATCGTTTAAATGTGCCTCTGTTTCTGCGATTTCTATGTTCCAAATGTGCCTCTGCTTTTTCTCCCTTTCAGGTTTTACCATGCTTATGACAACTATATGACTTATGCTTTTCCGGTCAGTTTTAGTTCCCACTATATGAGATATTATTTATATTTGATGAATATTATGAAGTTGTGGTCTATTGGTTCTGTAGCATGATGAACTAAAGCCTCTAGCCAAAACATTCACCGACTTCCTTGTCGAGCTAGGAAATTTGAAGGTAATTATTTATTTTTGAAATCTGTTGCAGTGTTCAGCTTTAAATGGATAATTTAAAATACCTACTGTTTCAAATTTTAGCTCGAACATTTGCCACAACAGGATCATGGATCTGCCCTCACACTTGTAGAATCGCTATCCAGGTATGATATACTCTTTCTTAGAGACAAGTTCTTAAAAATCAATGTAGTTGTATTTTTATCTTATATGCCCTTTTTATGCTGTCACCAAATATCTTTTTATTTCATTTTATTTCAATATTATTACTGATTGTGCCACTGAAGTATTTGTAACAGAGTATATGTTAATACTGTTTCTGTTTCTCAGCCTTGTTATCATTGGGGAACAACACAGAATTTGAAACGGGCTGTTCTTTGGCTTTCTGAAAATCTAACTTTTGATGTTGATGCGAGGATACATCTTTTTGAGGTATTTTAATTTTTTTCATTTAGGATTTAGTGAAGTTGTTTGAGTCAAAGTTTCATTAATGTGGCCTCAGTTTGCTAATGAAATAAAGCTTGAGCAATGTCGCTTTTTCTTTTTCTTTTGTTTTATTCTTTAGCAGGGAGTGCTAAAGCAAGTTGCATTTGAAGTATCAGATTGTCTTTAATGGTGTTTTCACTATTGTGTAGTGCAACATAAGAGTTCTTGGAGGACTTGTTTCTGCTCATATTCTTGCAACTGATTCTACAAACAGCTTGGTCCAAAGAAATTATAAGAATCAACTTCTTATCCTGCCTGAAGATTTACGGCAGCGCTTTCTACCTGCTTTTGATACCCCCACTGGATTGCTATATGCATGGATTAACTTGAAGGTACTTCTTATATCATGCTTAACTTATAAGACAAATTCCAATTCCCCAATTGTTTACAAATTGTTATGTATCCAAGATGTTTTATTTAACCTGGTAAAGTAGCTTTGAATTTTTGTATCTCTTCAGAATCATCAATGGTGCTTTGCATTTGCTGTAGTAGCATGGTTTCAAATGTTTGCATTGTGTTAGCGTTAATGTTTGGGAATTTTGTAGTGTATACTATGTGGAACTCATGCCATATTGACTGTACGATGATATTTCCATTGTGTTGGCGTTATTTGTCACACTTAAGTATCTGATCAATATCACTTGTATATTCACAAGTTTTTGCCCCTCTTCTCTTGCAAACACTTGAGGTTGATTTCTACAGGTGAAAATAATTTCTTTAAAAGTCAGCCTCAGTTGAGAAATCTGTGGCCACCACATAAGAAATTAGGATTACAAAGTGTGATTAATCAATAGCCTAAATATTGTCACATCTTTCTACTGCAAACCTTTGGAGCTCCATAGAAACAATAGAGGATAATCTGCTCAATATGATGATTAAAGAACATGGTCATCCTTTCGTGCATAATTCGTTAAAAACAGATGAAAAATAATCTCTCTGATCTCCTGGGATAGCTGTACCCTTTCAACCATACCGTTGATTTTGAAAGCAACTAACTTGACAATCTAAGTTGCACAAGAAGTTGCACTATCTTACTGTAGAATGGGACAATAATAGAATGGTAATGGCCAATGTAAGGCACCAAACCATATTCTAACTACATTTCATTTGTCTAGGCCCTCAATAGGCTTGGGCCATCTCTAGTTCTTGAGTGCTCCTGTGATATTGTTTAGTGTCAAAATTAGAGTGAAAAATCAGCTTGTCTCTAGTTCTTGAGATATTGTTTAATATCAAAATGAAAGTGAAAATATTTGAAAATATGTGAGAAAGAGTTTTAAAAGTAACAGACAAAGTGTTTCTGAGATTGATGAAATTTATTGTTTGTTTCTGATGTTGTAATTTTTTTGTGGTAATCTAAATTGAGAATATGACCTATGAAATAATAAATAAACCCATTTTATAATGACAAGAGAGTCACAGTGGCCATTGTTGATGTTCCTATCTAAATGTATCAAGGGTTCAATCTTTCTTTTTACAAGAGACTGACAGTGGCCATTTTTAAATTTTTTCAATTTTCTTTTTTGTTAGATGATAGTTACAAGGATCTCCATTTCTACATGTGCATCATGTGTGTTTTGAACTTCTAGTTTATGTACTTAGAATAATGATATATAAACAATGTTTTTATAAAATTAAATAAAAATATTCATAATGATATAACTTCTTCTAATCATTTTATTTTCAATCAAAATATCCATAATTATTTTCATAATTTTATAAATGTCATTGATAGATTATTGTGGATCTAGTTTCTATATAAATTTTTTGTTTATAAATCGTTTTGTAAAGTTGATATATGTATATTTACGATTTAAAGCTTGATTTGGTAGGAATAGAATAAAGATACAAATACTAATCCAAGAAGCTAGAGTGAGAAGAAAATTTGATAAAGATTAATGATTTCTTATAAGCTTTGTCATTTTGTTAGGATGATGGAAATTTAGCTTTTGTCCTTAGAGACAATTTAAGTATTATGAAAATTATATATATAATAATTTTTAATCTCACTGATTTTAGTAAATTTTATTAAATTTGGTTAGGATTATTTCTCTCCCTCTAAGATGACTCCACATAGAATTGTGAATGTATGTCACATTTGCGTGTCAATACATGCCAAGTTAGTAGTGAAATTAGCCAACTATATGCAATTGACAAATTGGCAAAACATCCCGATCTGTTATTACTATTTTGTTCATTTCAAAAAACAATGCTAATCGAACACCTAAACTTACTTAAGCTCTCTTCCATTACAGAGTATTTTTCCAAGTTGCCATCCATTCGCAGGTTCATCTTCGCTTCATGTCTACTGTTCCAATAATGGACAAGAGTTGGATGATGATAAAAGATAGGCTAAAAAGTAAAGAGTATGTACAAGGTGTTCAGTCATTTATTGAGTTCGCTACGAAGAATTTAGGGCCGCAGGATGAAATCCGTTGTCCTTGTGTTGATTGCTTGAACGGCACAAAATTCATCCTACTATGCGAAACGATGATACTCAAACCGATCGAGCTGCAATGACAGAGGTTCACGAAAATGTGGATGAACTTCCAAGCATGTTACAAGAGATTTACATGAGTGGTCTCATGGATGATCATATCGACGAAGAACGTACTTGTTCGGAGAGGCACAATTTGTTGAAATTCATTAGGTTGTTCGATGATGCTCAACGTCAAGTATATCCACAGTGTGAAAAGTTCTCCATCTTGTCCTTCGTAATTAAGATGCTTCACTTGAAGGTGTACAATAAATGGAGCAACAAATCTTTTGATATAGTTATGCAAGTTTTCAAAGACATTCTACCAAAGTGTGATGAAAATGTTCCATGGACCCTTTATGAAGCGAAAAAGTTCTTACGTGAGTTGGGTTTGGGATATGAGGCCATTCATGCATGCAAGAATGATTGTATGTTATTTTGGAAGGATAATGCCGCATTGGAGAATTGCCCTACATGTACGGAGTCTAGATACAAGTTGAACGACAAGACGGGTAAAAAAATTCCACACAAAATCTTGAGGTACTTTCCTTTGACACCGAGGTTGAAGAGATTGTACATGTCGAAAAAAACAGCTGCATATATGAGATGGCACAAAGATAAGCGTCTGGATGATGGAGTATTGCGACATCTAGTTGATGGTGAGGCATGGAAGGACTTTGATAGGTTGCATCCTACGTTCTCTGCGGATCCTCGGAATGTACGACTAGGGCTTGCCACGGATGGTTTCAATCCATTCGGACATATGAGTACATCGTACAACATGTGGCCCATAATCTTAATGCCTTACAATCTACCCCCATGGAAGTGTATGAAAGATCCATTTGTCATGATGTCATTGCTTATTCCCGGACGATCCGCACCTGGAAGGGACATCGATGTTTACTTGCAACCATTAGTAGAAGAGTTAACTAATCTGTGGGAGCATGGTGTGCAAACATATGATGAGACTACTATAGCCCTATGACAGCAGTCCTCTTTACCATACACTTGAAGCCATTGCTACAACTTCCTATTGTCTCTCTATCAATTTGCTCTCATTTTGAATTGTTATATCACACTAAACCTCAGCCTTGTGTTTTTCTCAATTACCTCCCCTATGTCAAAGGCTATAGATGCCTCAACCTTCTTATTGGTAAAATTGTCTTATTTAGGCATGTTAGGTTTCAAGAGTCTACTTTTCCCTTTTCTTCTATTACCTCTCTCCCTACCCTCATTTGTCCTCTTTTCAGTCCTTCTTTTGGTCTCCCTCCCCTACCTTGATATCCTCTTCCTATCAGCCTGCTTCTTCACTTACCACTATTGTTTTCCCTCCACAGCATTTGTCCACATCAATTCAGCCTTGTCCTGCATCTCAACCACCTCACCACTGGTCCTCATAGGCTTACTTCTCAGCCTACTTATGTGCTTCCCTCAGACTACCTGTACATTTGTTTACTGCTTTGAAAACGTTGAATTAGTTAATGTACTTGGTATCAAAATATGTAGTTTAACTGTTTAATTAACTGATGCAGGCAGCTTTTCTCTTTACGGTGGTAGGGACAACAGGCTTTTTGGGTGTTCTTGCCGGTCGGCTTCCTGGGGTAACTTCACATAATATCCAGAGGCTATGTGAAAATCTGAACTTCCAATATTGTCATATGTTGTATGGGTAGAAAATAACTTTTTGAGATTCTTAACAACTTTACTTTTCATCAATCTTCAAGAAAGTTTCCAAGATTTAAATCCACATCATTCATTAACACTAATGTAAGGCCAACATAAAACCAGAAAACATTTTCCAATAAAGCATCCAGATGTGGAAATAGTTTGCTATTGGATCATGTGGTTGGCTTTTGAAAAAGTATTTTAATAGTGTTTTAGATTTCGTTAACCAATGAAGTGCTCAAGATTCAGTTCAGGTTGATCATGGCTGTTACCGTTTCTTGGGATACTATTGGGCTACCCCTATAATTGCCTTATTGACTAGTTTTTGTTTACAATACAGCCTTAGCTTTTACTTATTTTTGCATTTTATTTTTTCAAGTTTTTTATGTGTTTTGCCTCTTTATCCTCTTTATCGTGAAATCTGAATTTTTTATTTTATCGTGAAATCTGGGGTAACTTCTTGGGCTCTAGTTTTTGAATTTCTCTTTTTTTAAGTCTTCTATTGTTTATTTGATGTAAGTTTCAAGGAACAAAGGATAAAGGAAGTACAATTGTAGCTGTGGATTATGCTCATAGAAGCTTCTTTCATTCCTGCCTTATGAGATGGCTGCTTCAGTGACTTTTGATATGTTTTAATGTGAGTAATGATTCTAATGTCTTTAATGTTCTACTCATCTGGGTAATGAATAAAGATATTTGTTTTGCACTAATCTGTATTATGGTTAGGCTGTCAGACTAATGCATTTTATTTTATTTTTTGTAAAGAGAATGGAAGGAAATTGAGGCATTTTCACATCTACTAACATTCTTATCCACATGTAATTGTCACATAGGATTGGGGCTTCTTCGTGCCATACTTGATTGGGAGCATTTCTTTAGTAGTTTTGGCTGTGGGAAGCATTTCACCTGGGTAAGTTGTTAGGCATTAACTACGTTATTTCCTTACTACAGGTTGTCTTGCATATGTCAACAAACCTTTCAATTTTGAATTACCATGATGTTTAAATCAGAATATTGCATAATTGTTAGCTCAGTTGGGCACTTTTAAATTGTATAATGAATTATTGAAGAAGAGCACAGTTCAAGGCTGACAGAGACTTTCGGGACCCTTGTTCTAAAGATGGGAAGGGTAATGTTCATTATTGGCTATATTACAGTTAGTTCATTATTGCTTCTCTCCACGTTACCTTTCCCTGCACAAATCCCTTCCCAAATCCAAAATCCAAACACATCCTTAGGCTAATGAAGGGCATACCTTTGACCTTCTTGTTTATCCAGATTTCTGCCAGCATCCCTGCACCAACTTATAACAGAGTCACATGAGAAGCAGAGACACAAAATTGCACCAAGATGGTTCAATATCAAATTTGAGACAAATATGTGCACAAACAGAAGGAGAGAACAGCATAAATACTGGAAATTTATGCAAAAGTTTCAGTTTTGCAGTTGAGATTAGACAACTATAGAAAACCATGTTGTGCAATACACTTTGAGTAGTCATCAGAATTCATAGTACTAGGGCCCTGAATAAATTCCTAAGGTAAGAATTATGGATACTAATGGAAACAGTAATGCCATACAAACAAACTGATGTTATGCTTGAGTTGTTCTTATCAATGGTTTGTTATTGCAGGCCACAACAATTTATTAAAAATTTTGTTGTTAACAATAATTCCAAAATTTGTTGGGGTAATGAGCATATTAAATGAACAATGGACTATTGAGAAGTTTGTTTTTGTATCATCATCATGTTCTCTTAGTTTATTAGTTACCATTGATTAACGAGCAATTTATTATTGAGTAGACATTGTTGTGTCATTATTGCAGCAGTTACACTACTAATGTATGCGATGTTTATTAGTTATGGACATTTGTTACATAATGTAGGTACAATGGTTCCGGGAATCAAGACGGGGCGACGGAAGAGAGCAACAAGTGGCAACGTACTATCAACATCTGAAGCATGCGCACAGGAGATTGGCACCCCGATGACGTTCTCTGATGAGACGCAACCACCGGATGATACACAAACTGTGGTGGAGGAGACGCAACCAGGTGGAGTGGGTAAGAGCATACTATTTAGTTGTTTAAAAAAATTTTGGTTTTGTTTTGTTTGTAATGTTGACTACCTTCCCCTTTTGTACCAGGGAAAACGAGGTCAACTCGTGTTCGGGGACGTACATTAGGCAAAGGCGTGCAGAAAAAAATTTCTAGGAAAAAAGGAGAGAAATTACACGTCTATGTCAATCGGGTGTTGAACGCAATCACCGGAGGGAATGCCACCCCAGCAACGAATGAGTTGGGCCTTCAAATTAGACGGTTATACCCTCTTCAGAGCGTGAAGTCATGGATAAAAATTGATCAAAGTACGAAAGATGCGGTCGTCCAGGCGGTGCTAGTATGAGATTCATCTTGCCATAATGTCTTTATTATGTAATTTGTAATTGGTTAAATTAATTGTTCTACTAATTCTCTTACTATGTTTGTAGGACAAGTTTGTTATCGGCGATGATTTTGATAATGATGAACAAGCTCAACAGATCCTTGATAGGAAGGCATATTTGCTATACAAGGATTGGAGGTACAATCTAAAGCAAGAGTTCCTCGAACTTGAAGAAAAGGGTGTTGATGACCCCTATAGTCATCCACCTAGTGGAGTGAGCTTGGAGGATTGGAAATATCTGATTGATGTTGTTTGGAAAGACGAATCTCACTTGGTAACAAATTAATTAGAAACCCCATTATTGAAATTAATTTATGTGTTAATATGTAAAACTTATTCACTAATATATGTAAAACTTCTTCATTGAAACTAAGTTAAGGTAAATTTTTTTTTTTTCATATTTTTGTAGAAACGCTCTACGGCTGGTAAAGCAAATAGGGGTATGCTCCCCTATAATCATACAAGTGGATCGCGATCATTTCCTATAGCAATGTCGCTTATGGTGAGAAGTTAATTTAGTAATGTAATGGATGATTGATTCTTCTTGATTTTGAATATTACCATGTACTAATTCGTCCATGGAATTTTTCCATACGTAACAAGCAAATGAGGATGGAGATGTAGATTTCCTCGAATTTTAAAAGAAGGCACACAAGTCCAAGAAGACGGGAGATTGGATTGACCCCAAATGTGGTGAGCTACATGTGAGTATTGAATGTTGAAACCAACTGTGATGCATGTCAATTAATAAAGTTGTTTTAAATTCCATCTCCCATCTTGACTTTATTGTTTTCTTGCCATTACAGGATGATATGGTGAATCTACAACTAATAGCCATCGATGCGGGGTTGCCATTGACCCACGAAGAAATATCAAGGCAAGTGCTTGGGGAAAAAAAAATTACTTGCGTGGATGTGGGATAGGCCCACAACCCTCTTCCACAGCCTCTAGTGCGGCACGAGCACGTGATAACACATATGGAGTCAATGAGAGTGGAACTGGAGGTTCTTCGTGAGCAGCGTCAAAGTGATCACGAGGAGTTGCTAAAAGAGAAAGAGGAGCGTCAAAAAGATCGAGAGGAGCTATTGAAGGAGAAAGAGGAGCGGCAAAGAGATCGAGAGGAGCTATTGAAGGAGAAAGAGGAGCGGCAAAGAGATCGGGAGGAAATTACGAAGGAAAGAGAGCAGCTAATCAAACAAGTCGATGAAGAAAAAAAAGCACGGGAGGCACAAGGTGTACAACTCAATCATTTGAACGACGTGGTGTCACGACTCACAACCCTCTTGCAAGGTTCAGATGGTCATCCTACTATTCGGTAAACAGAATGTTCTTAACAAGCTACTGCAACTTATACAAAAAATATGGATCATATTGGCATAGAATTGTTTTCTAAAGTTGGTATGCAAATATTTTTTTCGTGATGTGCTTTGAATAGGTTTTGAGGCATAATCAACGCGACATTGCAGTAGCCAACCTGGTGTTTTGATACATTACACAAAGGACCGTGACGTAATTTCCATAAGGTAACCAAGTCCAATTGAATGTCATTTCAGATTTAAGAGTAATTGAAGAAACCAAGAGAAAGTAGAATGAATTTTGATTTAGTACAATATAACTAGTACACTATAACTAGTACAAAGGAGCTTTGATTTCAAAATTCTAACTGTGAAGAATGAATATGTGATATTAAGTTTCTTAATAATAAATCTATACAAATAAAACCAACACTAATTTGATGAACAAAGCTCCACATTTTCCACCTGATTTGGCCTAGTTACAGGAGCTAATGCAACCTGATGCAACTTGGTTGGATGAACACTTTGATAGGCTGCCCACAACAGATTATCAACCTGATTTGGCCTAGTTACAGGAGCTGATGCAAACAAAGTTTTGATCCTTAAAACCTCCACATTTTCCCAATCATAAGCTGCCTTCTAAGTGTGCCATGCATTCTAATCAGCTTATCCTACAATTTGTTTGGTTCTTGGTTGTTTTCCAAGAGCATATTTACTCATAAGAAGTGTATTCAAACTAGGGAATCAAATCAAGGAAATCGGTTACAATTAGCCATAGGAATAAACAACCAAATTTCATTAAACTAAGGGAGAAAAATCCATGAATCCTCACCTTGTTGCCTACACTTGTATCCACCTGTACAATTGCAGATGCGCCTGTGTTCAGGCTAAAATCAATTAAATTTGTTCTCCCACATGCTAACCAGGTGGTGGATTGGCTCATATAAAAACACCATAAACATAGCCGAAAAAAGGCCTTCCAGGGCCGAAAATTGAGAGCAACCCCCGAACCATTGCGGGGATGGCACGGGTAGCTTCCTCATGTGAAATAGGACGTGTGGGGACGGATGGGACGTAATTAGTGCGTGTGTGTTGGGCGTTGGCGTGAAATGCGCCAAGAACTAAGCCGAAAAAAGGGCTTCGAGGGTCGAAAATTGAGAGTAGCCGCCGAACCACTGTAGGGATGGCACAGGTAGCTTCGTCATGTCAAATAGGACCTATGGGGACAGACGAGGCGTAATTAGCACGTGTACATTGGGTGTTGGCGTGAAATGCGCCATGAACTTAGCTGAAAAAAGGCCTTCGAGGGCCGAAAATTGAGAGCAGCCCCGAACCAGCATTTGATGGGACGGGTAGCTTCCTCGTGTCAAAGACGACCTGTGGGGACAGACGGGACGTAATTACCACGTAATTACCACGTGTTCTATAAGCATCTATATATATGTACAGTTATGAGTAAAATATATATATGTTTACACATTAGACTAAACTTGACTTGGGGTTGACTTGGAAATTTCTTTGCACTTTCAGTACAACTTAACGTGTAAAGAAACTATATTGAAATTCCTAAATTCAAACAATATTTACATACAATTGCAATTACAATTGACATGCTTGCAATTTGTGTTTTGTAGATGGCTATAACTTTTTGTTTACAATGGAACTAATGGGTGTAATTTTTGTTGTGTAGATGGCTTTTGACATTGACATGTGGATCTTCTATTTTTTTGCCCGGAAGATAATTCACACTTATGCGAAGTTGGGAAGTTTTTTGTTGTCCTATACTTTTTGTGTGGACTGTGGATGCATGGAACATATAATTTTTGGCGGGGTACAAACTTTTTTTTGGAGCTTGTATTAATGGCTCTAGTATTAATTAATATAGATTACCTTTTGTCATGGTACATATTACCATAGTAATTTGTACCTTGTCAAATGGTCATTACAATGCTTAGTATATAGTAAAAATGTTGTGTATAGAGGACATTGTTTTGGTAACGTATTTGGAATGTATGACATTATTTGTAATTGAAATATATATAGTTGGTTCGTACATATGTTTATATTATTATTTGTAGTTGGAGTATATATAGCAGGTGTTCATTTTTGTTTCATGGTTCTAAGTGAAACATGTATTACGGAATATGTGATAATATATATAGGTTGTATACGTACAGGTTGCGGTGGATATATAATATAAAATAATAATATAAAATGAAACAAACAAAATGAAATAAATGACGTTTTTGGTGACAATGAAATTGGTAGTTAAAAAGAAATAAATATTTTGGCGACTAAATGTTTAGTAGTTAAAACTCAAACGACTTTTGGCGACTAATAATTTAGTAGCCAAAACAACTTCAAAATAGTTATGGCGACTAATGTGTGGTAGCTAAAAATCAAAAGGCTTTTGGCGACTAAATATTTAGTAGGCAAACAACTCGAAAACATAATAAAATAATTATGGCCGACTAAAGTGTTTAGTAGCTAAAATCCAACATCTTTTTAGCGACTAAAGTTTTTAGTCGCCAAAATATAGTAAGTAACTATGGCGACTAAACATGTAGTAGGTGAAAGTTTCACTGTTGGCGACTAAACATTTCGTCGCCAAAGATATTTTACCTTTTTGTGACAAAAACGTTTAGTAGCTAAATATGTGAGTTAAAGGAATTAATCAACCGATTCGGCAACTAACATTTTAGTTGCTAATGTCCCTTATCAGCGACTAAGGATCTTTTAGTCGCTAATACCTATTGTTTTTGCTACTAAAAGGTTAGTCGGTATTGTATACTATTTATGGCGACTAAATGTAGTTTAGTCGCTAATTCCTTAGGTGACTGTATCCCCGACGAAGCCAGCGACCAAATTATTTAGTCGGGAATGTGTTTTGGCGACGAAATTTAATACTTTTGGCGACTAATGTTTTAGTCGTCAAAAGTGTATTTTTTTGTAGTGAGGTTTCTAAAACAATTACAAGGGGACTTCTTTTTGTTGAATATATAGATGCAAAAGTTGAATTGAATTTTTACTAAACAAATAAGCTGGTCAAACTATTTTATTTTATTTTATTTTTTTGGGTATTCTTATGTGGATTAAACTTTAGATATTATCTGTCATTTATCCAGAATTTTCATGTTTTATACTAATATATTAATTTTGTTTTCAATAATTATAAAAAAATTATATTAAATTGAACAATTATAATTTAATAATATTTATTTTTTTTAGATGGCCTAATTTAATAATATTTATTTAGAAACCCAATAATCAACACCAATAATTAACACAAGAAAGAACTCATAATAAGAAATATATTTAATACAAAATTACATGTATTGATTTTTTTAATGTTAACTTTAAGAGGATTGTACTGTTAACTTTTCTTTTCATAAATAGTATGTATAGAGATTCCTATAACGTAAATGATTCAAATTATCTTAATGGAACTCATGATGGGTCTTAAGAACTTCTAAAATTTTCTCAAATTCATATTTGAATATACAGAAAGTGGAACCCATTAAAAAAGTCTAAGAAGAAGAAAATTTTCACAAATATGAGACACATCTCTTTGTCTCACGTTTGTGATTGGTTTTGTGAGAATTTTCTATGCTCCTAGTACTACTGTTTTAATTATCAACTTATAAAATAAAAATACTAGAAATTTATAAAAAAAGTACTCAAAAATCATTATCGAAAAATTACATATATTAACCACAATTATTATAGGAGAAATAACATATCAGTGGTATCTTGAAAAAATAATAACGATTTTTTAAAAAATTTTATAAAACTATCTTTTAATGTTATAAAGTTTTTCATTAAGATGTTATTATTTGAGTAAATTACACTGACTTCCCTTGAAATTTTGTAAAATTTTGACATATTTATATTAAGCTCTCACTACAACATATAAGAGTTTTTGAGACCAAATGTTTTGATCTCTAAAAGTGAAAATTTTGTTGCAAAAGACATTTAGGGACCAATTTCTATCGTTATGAAGATAGTCGCTACAAGATCGCCCCGAAAAGTTAAAAACAAGGCTTTTAGTGACAAAATTTTGAAAATGTTACTAATAAATAGACTTTTAGAGACAAAATAATTTGGTCTCAAAATGGTTTATTTTTTAAGACAAAATATTTGGTTCCAAAAGGATAATAATCATCACTAATGTCCAATTTTTGTTGTTAAAAATATAATAATGACACTTGTTAGACTTATTTATTTTGATGATTTGTTTAATTATGTTTTAATTTATTTGGAAGAGAAAAATAGAATCAGAATTTATTTTGATGATTTATTTAATTATGTTTTAGCCTACGTTTGGAAAGTGGGTTGGCTTTTTGGCTTTTTGACTTTTTTGGCTATTTTAGCCTGGGCTAAAAAGCTTGGTTTGGGAAGGGCTTTTTGGCTTTTTTGACTTTGTTTGTGAGAGAAGAGTGTAATGATTATGGGTTGGATGTGATGTTTTGTTTTTTGTTGCTAAAATAGCCTATTTTGTCTTTTGTGGCTAAAATAGCCAAAAAAGCCCCAAAATTTTCTTCCCAAACGTAGGCTTAATTTATTTGGAAGAGAAAAATAGAATCAAAATTTATCTTGTCCCATTATTTCTCACATAAACCTTTATTCTAAATATTGTTAGAATGTATTTAATATTTGATTAAATTAGGAGTTTAAACAACCCAAAAACAGAGGTTCAAACAGTCCAACACAGCAGCAATTCAAAAGGTACAAAAGGTTCAAGTGAAAGATGTTCAAATTAGTAATGCTGGAGTGGAAGATATTCAAATGAATACAACAGGTATAAACGGCTATAAATTCAAATGAATATAACGGCTATAAGCGGCTATAAGTTTCATTATATATACCAAAGCTTCTAATGTAGACAAGTTACAAAAAAAAATCAGAAAATATTCTTTGATCTATAATCACTCACATCTATTCTCTAAAAAATTCTCTGAGAAGTGTTTTCAATTTTTGTTTACATCCTCTTTCAGAAATTATACACTGAGACGTATAGTTTTAAGCCCATCTTTTCTGTGTGAGGTTTACAGAAAAATCAAAGTTTCATTTTTATATCTATCTTTGAAAGATAATTCTTATAGTTTTCTATGAAAGCAAAAACACATTCTTTTCAACCTTATAAGAGTATAGTACACTCAGTGTTCTTGATTTAGAAAGTCTGTGTAAAATCCGTAGAGGATTGCTCCAATTGTAAAGAGGTTGTTAGCACCCCCATGAAACTAGAGCATAGTGGAAAACCTCAAGTGAAACTTGAGGAGTGGACGTAGGCCGAGTTGAAGCCGAACCACTATAAATTTGTTTGCCTCTCTCTCCCTTATCTCTTTATTTTATTTAAATTGCTGTAGCTATATTTCACATTTTCACTGTGCTAAAATCATTAACTGACATAGTTGTTAAAACACTTGTTTTAATTATTTTTATTTCATTAACTATATTTATCTATTGTGCTAGTCATAATTTTTATTAGGGTATTATTAATTTTTAATTGTGAAAACCTAATTCACCCCCTCCTTAAGTTATCTTTTGGGTAATAATTGGTATCAAAGCCTAGACTCTTGTTTGAGATTTAACCATCTAAGAGTTTCGATCTATAGCAACCTTAGCTAGCACTGCTGAAGGGCAAGCCACCAATAGGCCACCACTATTTGATGTAAACAACTATAGTCATTGGAAAGATAAGATGACCCTATACATTCAAGCCACCGATTATGCCATATGGATTATTGTCACCAAAGATACAAAAATTCCTACCAAATTAGTAAACAATATTAGTGTACCTAAAACTGAAGATGAATGCGATAAGAGAGATCATAAATATTGCAAGTCAATACTAAAGCCAAACTCACCCTTATTTGTGGATTAGACTCTAAGGAGTATAATAGAATTTCAAATTGTGATTCGGTAAAAGAAATTTGGGACAAACTTTAGGTAACGTATGAAGGTACAAACCAAGTGAAAGAATCTCGTATTAATATGCTTGTTCACAGTTATGAATTATTTAAAATGAACTCTGATGAATCTATTTCAAGTATGTTTACTAGATTTACTGAAATTGTAAACTCTTTGAAATCTCTTGGCAAAATTTATACTAACAGTGAGTTGGTGAAAAAAATTCTTAGGTGTTTACCAAAGAATTGGGAAGCAAAGGTCACCGGCATTATAGAAGCCAAAGATCTCTCCACACTTGGATTGGATGAGCTTATAGGTTCCCTTATGACTCATGAGATCACTATGAAAAGACATGAGGATATTGAAAAGAAAAAGAAAAGTGGAATTGCATTCAAAGCCTCATCAAATGAAAAAGAACATGAAAACTCTAGTGATGATGAAAGCTATGTCATGTTTAGTAGAAATCTCAAAAAGCACTTCAAGAAAAACAATTATGGAAAAAGAAGACCTTTTAAAAAGGAGTACAACAAAGGTAACAAGAAATAACCTATTATTTGCTATGAGTGCAAAAATCATGGACATATGAAGATGGATTATCCAAAATTGAAAAATCATGGAAAAGACTACAAAAGAAACAGCTTGGGGACGTGAAGATGAAAGCTTAAGTGATGAAATTAAAAATGAAATAGCCAACTTGTGTCTCATGGTTCTTGAAGATGAAGTCTCTACTCAATATGAGGTAACTACTCTTTGTGAAGAACTTGAAAGTGCATTACATGAACTACAAGATGAATTTAGAAAAGTTTGTGCCAAAAATAATGTGTTAAAAAAATTTGTTGCATCTTTATCTAGTAATGTAGAAGAATTAAAGAAAGAAAAAATTATTTTGAAAAATGATTTTGACACCATCTCTAAT